GTTTTTTTTTGTTTGTTTTTTTATTACAAAAGATGAATAGAAATTTAAAAAGATAAATGTCGTAATTTTGAAATTTTGATAGTGTAATTTTATCCAATATCTTTTAATTGACGGACATTTTATTGATATAGATAATAAACAGAATTAAGTGTAAACATAAATATACTCTAATTGATTTCGAAAATGATAGCATTAGAGAATTTCGTGAGAAACTACGCGATGGTCGTCTTATGTTAATAGATGAAGGAAGAAAAGTCCCCTCAGAAGAGTTTTTCTCATGGGGTTCTAAAAGAATATTAATAGGTATACTCCCATCATCCTACTGCGTCGAATTTTCGTGTTAAAGAGTTACAGATCATTCTGAACCATCTGTGTAGTTTGATTCTGAACCATGTGTGTAGTTTGATTCTGAACCATGTGTGTAGTTTGATTTCTATTTTAATAGCAAATCTTCCCGCTAGGTTTATATTAATTACTATGTATAGCTACAAAATAATATATGGCGCAGTAATTCTAGCATATTAATTATAAGATAAGCACGATGACGAAATTGAACCAAACATACAACGCAATATAGAAAATTATTTTGCTCATAACAAATTTAAATATTAAAATATTAAATATTAAATAGTTTAACGAATCTCAATCTTTTGTGTTGAAATTTGTATAACATAAATAAGAATACATACAGGTAATTAATCAAATATTAAATAAAAAATTATATTATATTTTAAGATGTCTTTTAGGGGAAAGAATTAAGCTTGCTTTTAATAATAAAAGTATCTAATTTCATCATACAGATCGAAGTAAAAGTAATATTATATATTATAATTTATTGAATATAATTTTCAAGATAATTATTACGTACGAAAATGAATGAATGAAAAATCGTGGGGAAAATGCGATTTTACACGAGCAAGAAGATATGTATTATCAAGTTAAGGCGTGAACACTGGAAACTAAAAAACCTGTTGCCACTAAATTTGGTACGGTCATTGGACTCTGAAGGAGATATTACATGGAATAATCTGTGGCTGGTGTACTCCTATGCCTTTTCTCTCTTTTGCTTCCTCCTGTTGATACGATTTATAATGAACGCCTGGCTCACCGGTACTCTCGCCTAACTTCGAACGTGTACCAGTTTAAAAATAAAAAAAAAAAGGGAATACGATGCAACAATAATATGAGAAGGAGGGGCAAGCTGGGAATACGTAATGCGCTAAGGACGTAGGGCGCGCCGTGGATCAGGCATGAAATTGAATTTCGTTCTGAAATCGACTTTCGACAAAAAACATTATTGGATAATATCTTCAGATAATATTTTCAGTTAACGTCATGATTGTTTCAACTGCAAACGTAGCTTGCATTTTTATTTTTAAATTTTACTCTTAAGCAATTTTAAAAGTACAATTTAATTTTTCATTACAAGTTTACATTTAATTAATTATGCAAGATCAAATATCGACAACATTGGCATTGAACGGCGAATGCTTGAAGCCTGTGGTGTGTTATAATTGTAACACGAATACACTCGGTTTCCTTCCTTGTTGAATTATTCATTCATTTGTAGGTACACAAATGTGCTTGTACTTGCACATCGCAAAATCTCTCTCGTAGCCTAAGAAATAAGTAGCATTAACAACGCATTCATTATACTAATTACTATTATGAAGCACTGTCATGCGTCAAGACCATGCATATTATTTCTTTGCTTGAAAAAAGAGTTCTTATTAATACGTGGGCTGAGTAAAGGGCGTAACGCGATTGAAAGGGGTCCATGAAAAATTGCGTGTAAAAGTTAATGTTATTATTTGGACTAATTTCGGTTTATATATTTATATATTTCAACTTTGAGAAATCAAATTAAAATGCACTTAAATGGCTGTTTCAATTATTTTAACGTAACTGTTCATTTTGAACGATATGAATTGACTTTTTAATCAGTTAATTCAAGATAAGTTATTCAAGATAAATTATTGCGATGTTTAAAATAATTAAAACATTCATTTGATTAAAAGACTTTTATCTTTAACTTTTTCTGTTTAATTGAGATAATGTTAAAATACGTAGCATTATACCGCGTTATATCTTCTTAAAAAAAATTGAAATAAATTAGTTATAATTCGTCATTTATTTTCACGCACAAGAACCACGAATACTTGTCGAACTTTTGATATGACCCAGGTGTATCCTCTTATTGAGTTGTGAAAGTTTGAAATCTATTTCAATCGAAATGACATGACCATCAGGATATTAATCTATTATTCTCTTCTTATTTTAGATTCAAAGCCTGGAAAGAAGATTGCAGCTGCTCAGTGGCACCGATTGGTAAGATGCTCGGAGAACCGTTAAGCTATAACGCGATAACTTGTTTTAACAAAATGCAATAAAAAAAAAAACCTACAATAAACGTGCTATTTCGTACAATCAAAATATTATTATATATTTTTACGAAAATAAATGATGCGCGCGCTCGTGGTATATCATTCGATTGTCTCGAAAGCTTTTTAACAAGCTTCTTTCTCGATATAGATTTTTATCTTTTCGCGAAATTCACGAATCTAAACTTCATACGGTGATACGTCATCGCCGTTTGATATGTGCAATCATATCAAACGTGAGCCTTGAGCGAGTAGTTTCGCTGTGTAGAAAACACGTTGCGTTGTATCATCGTGACTAGATCGAGTCGAGTCGAAGAAATCGGGCAAGACGGTACGTCCCTGCCTTCGGTGGGCAGATAGGGTATAATCATACCGAGTTTCGTATCTCGAGGGGGGGGCCACGGGAAGATGGTCCAACATCTGCCGCTGCAGGGAATC